ATAGCACCTATCATTAGGGCATCGTATATTCTAAAAAAAAAACCCCAGTAGCACCTTGGCAATGGCTATAACCAATCTTATCATTGACCAAAACCATAATAAACTGATAAAACATTCTGATCTTGCTTCTGATTCATCCATGCAAGTAGGAACAAAAGCCTCTGGCTATGAAGATCACATGGAAAGTCAGCAGATGGCCAGTGAGCAGCAGGCTAAACTAGAGCAGGCTTGTAGTCATTTGCTGTGAAGTAATAAATCATGTTAGATGAGCCGAGGAATCTGGAAAACATAAAGATTATATATAGTCCTTATTCTACTTTAAATGTAAATTACTTTGGAGATAGAAGCAAATCGAATTCTTTTGAATGAACCGGACATAAAATGATAGTATACTGTAAGATTTTTTTAGGGTTCATCATCTTTCTTGATACATTATTCATTATGACTTTATAACTTGTCAAAGCAGTCTTCAGGTTTTTGTACTCATGAGCCTGGTTTCTAGAAAAGATTTTAAAGGGGGAACAGAATTTTTACATGACTCTCCACTTGCTTATTAATGTTTAGTGGTACACAGGAACTGAGAGCATTTATTCATTTACACCTCACCTTACTCCAAAAAGGATTTATTTTGAGTCAATTTAAAATTTTTAGAGAGTTAATAATATATATTTCTATAATCATTTACATTTTGTGTTAGAAACTGGGGGATGGGGAAGAAGTAGTCTTTTTTATTATTGTTATTGATTTTTTTTACAGAGAGGAATTGAGAGGGATAGAGAGTTAGAAACATTGATGAGAGAGAAACATCGATCAGCTGCCTCCTGCACCCCTCCCACTGGGGATGTACCCGAAACCAAGATACATGTCCTGGACCAGAATCAAACCTTGTACATGCGCGCGCGCCCCCCCCCAGTCCACAGGCCAACGCTCCATCCACTGAGCCAAACTGGTTTTGGCAAGGGGAATTAGTCTTTTCAGTTAAAGATCAAAGGAGAAACACAAGGAGTAAGGTTAAAGGAAATCTCATTAGCTAACTTTCCAGGAGTATAATTATGCAACACCACTTGGGGATCCAGTGTTCAGAGGCTCCAGATGCCTAAGGATTGCTGTTTATCCATTTGATAGCTTGCTGCAGAAATCTCCAGGCACCAGGTTGATCTCTCCCAACAGATATCAGACCTTGTAGGATTTCTCTATCAGTACTTCTGCCTGCCTGCCTGGTACTTGTCATTTATTATATGGGTAGTCCTTTAGTTTTCTAAAGCAAACTTAAAACCTTCTGTTCCTTTTGCATTTTCATCCAGGGCTCAGTACACATCAGTCAGGTAAAGATTAAACTTAGGGTGCTCTATAGCCTGCAAAAAATGAAAGCTAGCATATTAGCCAGAAGAATGGGATTCTTTAAGATAAATTGCCGAGGTGCAAAGCTCTGACTTTCCACTTTCTATCTTTGTGACCTGGGAGAAGGGAGGAAGGTACTTCAATTTTTGGTGCCTTCATTTGCTCATCCATAAAATGGGAGCCATAATTCATGCTAAGAACATGTAAATAGTATCTATAGATAACATGTGGTAAGTATTAATTGATAGTCGTTACCATAACTATTTTTTTAATCCAGAATGTGTTTATTGGAATGGCTCGGGATGCTTTTAGTGCTGCTTTCTTCTGAAGCAGCATTCTATGGAAGCCTTGCTTTTTCTCCAGTAGGCTGAGTAGCCAACACACAAAACTACTGTTTGTGCATGGCTGAAGATTCTATAGCATGCTGGGTGTTTCACATCCATGCAGTGGGAATTAGGACTCTACACCAGGAGCTGCTGCTTCTGTTTCTCTTCTCTTCTCTTCCGGAGAGGGATGGAGGAGATCCTTAGCGAGAGGCATGTTGCTGTGGGGAGGTGGTCACCATCAGAAGTGGTATGTCATACTATTTTTTTAAAGCCTATTCATCTACAGTATCCTACTTGAATTTTGCAATAACTTTTAAGGAACTTAAGTATTATTAGCCCCATTTTATAGATAATAGAACCTAAGGTGTTTATGTTCAACTTGCCCAAAATAGTTAACAAGCATTCCGGGCAGATCTAGGATTAGAACTGTGTTGCGTAGAGACAGCATTCTTGTGCTTGCAGTTAGACTGAGGGGGGAACAGGTTTCATCTGAAGAGTCAGCTCTAAAACATTCAAAGTGGATGCTCAGAGCTTTTTTTTGAAGATTCTCAAAGCAGGTCCAGCTCATTAAGAAGAGAATGCCTGATTGATAAGCATTGTTTGCCATGGGCCCAGGAGCATGGAGCAGGATTGCATTGTTGCTTTTTTTTTTTTTTCTTTTTTCTTTTTTTTCTTTTTTCTAACTCCTAGCTAAAGTTTCCCATTAACTCCAGTTTTGTTTTGTTTTATAAACAAAACATTTAGGTACATTTTAACACATCATTTAATGAACTTACTAGTTTATAGTGTAAATATATCCTTATAAGTTTGCTAAAGAAGTATTACTATTTCTAAAATAGTTTCTAACTAGGGCAATTGATGGAACATTTTTTTACAAGCTGTTTCTCTATCATCTTTTCATTTTCTGCTCTCATGAGCACACGGGTTGAAAAATCTAGTAGTTACCATTTACTTCTAATTTGAGGGTTAAGTTTAAAACATGGCACTTTTAAGAAGTAATTTAGAAAGAAATTGTTTTCATATATGAACCAATTATTAGTCTCCTTGAAGGTGAGAGAAGTTGTCTAAGATGTGTGATATAAGAACCATTTTAAATACACACAAAACTTCCTCTGACTTCTTGATTTTATTTTAGCCGATATTATCCTATCCCCAGTATCTTTGGTCTTATTGTGGGAAAGTAGCAACTTTGTATTTTAAATATCAACTTACCTAAGAGTGAGAAAAGGAAGAGTTGACTTCCAGTGTCCATCTTCTCTACAGCAAGATGCTTCAGGAAAAGCTGGCCGCAGTTGCCTACATTCAACCAAGTGCCCAGGTTGGGCTAGGCTTTGGAAGGCTTAGGTAGCCCTGTTTCCCAGTATGAACTACCTGTGAGAAATATCAGCAGACAAAGCTCAGAAAGTATGAGACCTGGTCCTCCATCCCCTACCTCTACAGAAATACAGAGAGGTGGGGAGAGTACACATTACAGTAGTTTTCCCATTTAGAACTTTGTGGATTTCACTAGACTGCTTGTATTTATTACTGGAGTCACTTAGCCTCTAGTTCTGGTTAAGACTCCTTCAGGGAAATAGAGAATTTACCACCTTCTCAAAGTCCTGGCCATCTGTGAACAATTTTGACAATTTTTTACTTTTGTATTCTCTATGAAAAGGCTAAGCAAAGATGAAATCTGTCTCTCGGAAAATAACTTTTCCCATATTACTCACACTGCTCCAGAATTGCTCTGCTCTGATTTCTTGACTGTTATTGATTTAAATCAGAGTTTTCTTATTTATATTTTATGTGCCCAGAGGCAATGACCAAGATTAAATAAGCATTGCCCAACCGGTGTGACTCAGTGGTTGAGAGTCAACCCATGAACCAGAAGGTCACTGTTCAATCCCCAGTCGGGGCATATGCCCAGGTTGTGGGCTTCAGCCCCATTAGGGGGAGTACAGGAGGCAGCCGATTGATGATTCTCTTTCTTCATTGATATTACTATCTCTTTCTCTGAAAATCAATAAAAATATTGATTTTTTTTTTTAAAAGATTAAGCATCTGGAAGAGCTTTGTGTAAGGTGTAAGGCTATTTAAGGAAAAAAAAATGATTTTCTCTCCAAAAAGCTTTCTAGGAATGTGAGTAATTTGCAGAGGTTCTATAAATCATGATTTCTGGAGATAAAAAATATTTGTGAAAGTAATGGTCTTGAGTATTTGTAATTAGATTAGTCCCTTTTAAAAAATCATACTTGCTAATCACATTTAAATTTCAATTTTAAGAATATTTTACATGCAATCAATCTTTAGGGATATTTACTATAAATGGTTAAAGAAAAAAGCAGACTGTTATGTATAAAGTTTGCATTAAGTGCCTTATGTAATTCATCTCTTTAGTGTTTTAAGAGTAAAAATGTTAAGGTTTTATCTAAAAGGCAGTCCTATTCTTTTATTTATTGTCTTTTTCCAGGTGATATAATCTATCGATAAACATTCATTATAAATTATGAGAGGTCTGGTGCACAAAATTCATGCATGGAGGTGATGAGGGAGAAATCCCTCAGCCCAGCCTGCACCCTCTCGCTATCTGTGATCCTTTGGACATCCTCTCACAATCTGGGACCTCTGGCTCCCAACCACTTGCCTGCTTGCCTGCTTGCCTGCCTGCCTGATCTCTCCCCCAACTGCCTCTGCCTGCCTGCCTGATCATCCCTGATCACCCCTAACCATTTGCCTGCCTGCATGATTGCCCTAACTGCTCACCCGCCTGCTTGATCACCCCCTAACTGCTCACCTGCCTGTCTGATCTCCCCTAACCATTCTGCCTGCCTGAATGCCCCTAACTGCTCTCCTGCCTGCCTGATCACCCCTAACCATTCTGTCTGCCTGCCTACCTGATTGCCCCTAACTGCCTCTGCCTCAGCCCCTGCCACCACGGCTTCGTCTGGAAGGTTGTTTGGCTGTCCAGTCTAATTAGCATATTATGCTCTTATTATTATAGATGTTTTTAAAGCAATTCTCAGCTAAAGCTTCTCTCCACAACCTCCTTTCCCCAAGTGGAAAGAAAAGACTTCATTAATTTTCCTTTCTGACCAGAATTTTTGTGGGTTTTGCTGGCATGAAGAACATGTTATAGATGCAGACTTTTAGGCTTCTTTCAATAATTAATAATGTGTTTGATCTTTCCAGTTTTTCTCCTGCGATTTCTCTTCTGCTTATATTAGGAAAGCCTCTCCCTGGGAATGTTGATAAATCAGAAAGACTTCTCTGCCATGACAAAAACATGTTGAGGACAGAAGCTCCCTTATTCCTTTCCATTTCATGGATATGTATTTATTTTTGGTATTTCAGACTGACCCCGATTCTTGGCATTCAGAAGCATTCTCAGGAAAATATGATGTTTACACAGTTTCTAGCCACCCTGCTTGAAGAATTGCATTTAAAGAATGAAGACCTTGAAAATTTAACCATCATATTTAGAACCAGCTGTTAAATAGAGTGGTGAGTTGGATTGTGCTTTACTTTTTTTTATTTTTCATTTGAGCCTCTTTGGATACTTTTTTTAGTTTGGAAATTTTGAAAACCAAGTTCAGGCCCTGGAAGTTCAATTGGTTCAAACATCGTTTTGATACACCAAGATAGGTCAGGGCACATGTAAGAATCAACCAATGAATGCATAAATAAGTGGAACAACAAATCTCTCTCTTTTGAACTCACTCTCTCTCTCTCTCTCTCTCTCTCCCCCCCCTTCCCTCCCTCCTCTCCCTTTTGCCCCTTTTCCTTTCTTCCTCCCTCCCTCCCCCCTTTCCCTCTCTCTAAAAACATCAATTCTATCTAATAAAAGAGTAATATGCAAATTAACCATCATTCCGCTACACCATCATGTCACAGCCACACCCACCAGCCAATCAGGAGCTAGTATGCAAATTAACCCAAACCAAAATGGCTGCAGCCATGGAGCAAGCAGGAGGGAGGCTTGGGTTTCCCTGGCGATGGAAGAAGCCAAGCTTTCCACACACTCTGACGGGCCCAGGCCTCCACTCAAGTGTACAAAGTTTCAATTATAGAAGATAAATAAATCCCAACATAAATGGCAGCAGCCACGGAGCTGGAAAGAGCAGGAGGTTAGGGTTTCCTCTGGCAATTGAGGAACCCAAGCTTTCCGCCTGCCCTGGCCTGCTTGGCCTCCCCTTAAGGTTACAAAGTTTCAATTATAGAAGGTAAACAAATCCAAACAGAAATGGCTGCCGCCTTGAAGCGAGCAGTAGTCTTGGCTCCACTCCAGGCTACAGGGTTTCAATTATAGAAGATAAATAAATTCCAGACACCAGGGCCTCTGCTTGGGTTGCTGGGAGGTGTGGCTGGCCTGCAAACCACCACAGGCCCCTTGCCCAGGCCACCTTATGCCCCAAGGCAACCCCCTCCCTGATCTGGGACACTCTTCAGGGCAAACCAGCCAGCCCCCATCCATGCACCAGGCCTCTATACTAGCTAATAAAAGAATAATATGTAGATTGACCATCACTCCAACACATAATATAGCTGCTCTCGTGTGGTCAAATATCCTGCCCCCATGTGGACACAAGATGGCCAGCAGGGGAGGACAGTTGGGAGGGACCAGGCCTGAAAGGGAAGGAAGTTGGGGGTGATCAAGCCTGCAATGGAGGGCAGTTAGGCATCAATTAAGCTGGCAGGGGAGTGACTGGGGTGATCAGGCTGACAGGCAGAAGCGGTTAGGGGCAATCAGGAAGGCAGGCAAACAGTCCTGGATTGTGAAAGGGCTGCCCCAGATTGGAGAGGGTGCAGGCTGGGCTAAGGGATACCCCCCTCCCCCATGCACAAATTTTGTGCCCTGGGCCTCTAGTATAAAAATAAAAACCAAGTATAGACATCAGAATATCCTCAGCTTGCTAAAGGAGAAAATGACATCCTTAGTTCTCAGCTGCCATACTCACTTCCTATCCTCTTTTATTACTTTGTTGTTGTTATTCCTCCTTTATAGGCTTACTACAGTTAATTCTGATTCTTGCAATCCACTATCATTTTCATACGCAAACCCCCTTTCCCACCTGCTAAGTTTTTTTCCAAGAAGTAGCAACTAACTTCAACCCAACTACTGCGATGATCAATTGAGAACATCCTCATCTTACTTCCCTCTTCAAAGAAATCACCCCAACCCAGCCAACACCCTAGTAATCTCATGTGCAGATAAACAGATATATTTACAAGTCTGGCTTTGTTGAATCATGACCCTCTTCTACACCTCTTTCAGAACTGCCTGTATTATTTTAATCATAACTCTTCATCTTTTCCTCTCCTTGCTGCTCATTTCACATACTCTCAAGTGCTCAGATAGGTTTTTTTTTTTAATTTATTCAAGTTTAGTTGGCATACAATAGTATATTAGTTTCAGCTGTACAACTTAATGATTATACATTTATATACTTTATGATGTAATCACCACACTGTGCTAGTAACCACCAGTCATCATGCCAAGATATTGTGATATTATGACTGTATTTCCTATACTACATTTTATAACTGAAAGTTTGTACCTATTATTTCCCTTCACCTTTTTTAATAATTCCCCTACTTTCTCCCCTCTGGCAACCATCTAGTTTATTCTCCCTTTTTATTCTCCTCTTGGTTTGTTTGTTCCTTTGTCTTGTTTTTTTAGATTCCACATATAAGGGAAATCATATAGTATTTGTCTTTCTTGGTCTGACTTATTTCACTTAGCACAATACTCTCTAGGTCCATCCATGTTGTCACAAATGGCAAGATCTCATTCTTATTAATGGCTGAGGAATATTACATTGTATATATGTCCCACATCTTTATTCATTCATATATCAGTGGACACCTAGGTTGCTTCCTTGCCTATTGCAAATAATGCTGCAGTGAACAAAATGGTGATTATATCTTTTTTAATTAGTGTTTTATTTTCTTCAGATAAATACCCAGAAGTGGCATTGTTGGGTTGTATGGTATTTCTAATATTTTGAGGATTTCCATATTGTGTTCCATAGCAACTGCTACAATTTACAGTCCCACCAACAGTGCACAAGGGTTCCGTAAGGGTTCCTTGTTCTTTCACATTTTCTCCAACACTTATTGTTGACTTTTTTATGATAGTAATTCTATGAGGTGGAATTTCATTGTGGTTTTGATTTATATTTTCCTGATGATTATTGGTACTGAGCATCTTTTTGTCTGCTGATCATCTGTATGTCCTCTTCAGAGAAATGTCTATGCAGATCTTATGTTCATTTTCCCATCAGATTGTTTTGTGGAGTTTTTTTTATGTTGATGTTTCTTATATATTTTGGATATAAACTACACGGTATATATCATTTATGAATATCTTCTCCCATTCATTCAGTTGTCTTTTCTTTTTGATGGTTTCCGTTGCTGTGCAGAAGCTTTTTAGTTTGATGAGATCCATTTATTTTTACATTGTTTCCCTTGTCTGAGGAGATAGGCCTCCACTCAAGGATACAAAGTTTCAATTATAGAAGATAAATCCCAAGAAAAATGGCAGCAGCCACAGAGCTGGAGAGAACAGGCTAGGGTTGCCCCCAGCAACAGAGGAAGCCAAGTTTTCCACCTGCCCTGGCTGGCCTAGGCCTCTACTCAAGGATACAAAGTTTCAATTATAGTATGTAATAGTATGTAAACAAATTCAAACAGAAATGGCAGCAGCCAAGGAGCAAGCAGGAGGCTTGGCTCCGCTCCAGGCTACAAAGTTTCAATTGTAGAAGGTAAATAAATTCCAGATACCAGGGCCTCCACTTGGGTCACCAGGGGGCGTGGCTGACCTGCAAACCACCACAGGCCCCTCGCTCAGGCCGCCCCAAGCCCCAAAGGAACCCCCACCCTGATCCGGGACACCCTTCAGAGCAAACCAGCTGGCCCCCACCCATGCACCAGGCCTCTATCTAATAAAAGAGTAATATGCAGATTGACCTTCATTCCAACACACAAGATGGCTGCCCCCATGTGGTTAAAGATCCTGCTCCCATGTGGACACAAGGAGACCACCACAAGATGGCCAGCAGGGGAGGGCAGTTTGGAGGCACCAGGCCTGCAAGGGAGGGCATTTGAGAGGGATCAGGTCTGCAAGGGAGGGCGGTTGGAGATGATCAACCCTGCAGGGGAGGACAGTTAGGGGTGACCATGCTGACAGAGGAGGGAAGTTGGGGGCAAACAGGCTGGCAGGGGAGCAGTTAGTCATCAATCAGGCTGGCATGTGAGTGGATAGGGGGTGATCAGGCTGGTAGGCAAAAGCGGTTAGGGGCAATCAGGAAGGCAGGCAGGAATACCAGTTGGGAGCCAGCAGTTCTGGATTGTGAGAGGGATGTTCGACTGCCCATTTAGGCCCGATCCCAATTAGGGGTCCTAGATTGGAGAGGGTGTAGGCTGGGCTGAGGGACACCCCCCCCCACACACACACACCCCTGTGCATGAATTTCATGCACCGGGCCTCTAGTATGACTATAAATTCTTTAATCTCTCCCCACTTACCCACTCCCATCTTTCCTCTAAGATTGGACAGTCTATTCCATGCTTTTATGTCTCTGGATCTATTTTTTCCATCAGTTTATTTTGTTCTTTAGATTCCACGTATTTGTGAGATCATGTGATTTTTGTCTCTGACTGGCTTATTTCATTTAGCTGTGACATGCACTGTCCACCAGGGAGTGGTGCGGAATGAAGGAAGGCCCCAATCAGCCCTAATCGCTGGCCAGGCCTAGGGACCCTACCTGTGTACAGATTTTGTGCACCAGACCTCTAGTGTAGAATAAAAATGGTGAGGATGGGCATCCTTGTCTTGTTCCTGAACTTAGCAAAAAAAGCTTTTCAGCTTTTTACCGTTGAGTATGATGGAAATATGTTCCCTGTATTCCCACTTTGTTGAGAGTTTTTATCATAAATGGATGTTGAATTTTGTCAAATGTTTTTTCTGCATCTTTTAAATGATTGTATGATTTTTATTCTTTTGTTGATATGGTGTATCATGTTGATTATTTGCAGATGTTGACCCAGCTTTGTATCCCTAGAATAAATCCCCCTTGGTTATGATGTGTGAACTTTTTAATGTATTGTTAAATTCAATTTGCTAATAACATGTTGAGAATTTTTGCATCTATGGTCATCGTGGATATTGGTCTGGAATTCTTTGGTCATGTCTTTGTCTGGTTTTGGTTATTAGGGTAATGCTGGCCTCATAGAATGCATTTGGAAGTGTTCCTTCCTCTTCAATTTTTTATAATAGTCTGAGAAGGATAGGTATTAATTCTTTAAATTTTTTTTATAGAATTTGCTTGTGAAGTCATCTAGTCCTGGGCTTGGTTTGTTAGTTTTTTTTATTACTAAATTTCATTGCTAGTAATTGGTCTATTCAGGTTTTCTGTTCCCTCCTCACCCATTCTTGGAAGGCTATGAGCATTTATGTTCAAATGAATTCTAAAAACACCACCTTTTTACTCTCCTGTCCATGCTCTATGTTTTTTATGTCATATTTTAGATCTGTTTTGTGTATTCCTTAACCATTTATAATTTTGCTACTTTTATCTTCATACTAGCTCCTTAAATGACTAATTTGATGTGTCTATTATCCTTTGCCTGTGAGATTTTTTCCTTTCATGTATCTTTTTTTGCTTGTATGGCCTTTGACCTTTGTTTTCTGTTTAAAGAAGACCCTTTAGTATTTCTTGTAAAAATGGGTTAAGAGTTATAAACACCATTTTTTGGTTGTCTGGGAAACTCTGTCCTTCAATTCTGAATAATAAACTCATTGAGTATAGTGTTCTAGGTTGCAGATTACTTTCTTTCAGAGCTTTAAATATATCATACCACTCTTTTCTGGCCTGTAAAGTTTCTGCTGAGAAATCAGCTGATTGCCTTATAGGGTTTCCCTTATATATGACAAGTTGTTTTCCTTTTGCTGCTTTTAAGATCATCTCTTTAACTTTTGCCATTTTAATTACAGTATGTCTCAGTATTGGCCTCTCTGGGTTCATCTTGTTTGGAAATCTGTGCATCCTGGACCTGGATATCTGTTTCTTCTCATATTATTTTCAGTCATTATGTCTTAACATCCTGCCCCTTTCTCTTCTTTCTGGAATCCCTACAATGCAAAATGTTCATGTGCTTGATGTTGTCCCAGAGATTTCTTAAACTATCCTTTATTGTGTTACTTTGCTTTTCTGATTGGATGGTTTCCACTATTCTGTCTTAGTCACTAATCCATTCTTCTGTTTTATCTAATCTGCTCATTTATTTTAGGGTAGTTTTCATTTCAGTTGTTCTTTAGCTATGATTAGTTCTTTATTTTCTAACTTTTTGTTCAAGTTCTGAGTTCCTCTCTTCCACTCTCAAATTTGGTGAAAATGCTAATAGCCATTCCTTTGCATCTTTATCAGGCAAATTATTTATCTCCATTTCATTCAGCTTTTTTTTCCCCCTTGATTTGTTGTTCCTTCATTTGGAACATGTTTCTGATTTCTCATTTTGATTTTGTGTTTGTTCCTGTTAAGTAGATGTGATACCCATCTCTTCCAATCTCAAAAAGATGGCCTTGTGTAGAAGCAACTTCTGTATAAACCTGGGGTGGGGAACATCCAGCCCACGGGCCACGTAGGCCCAGGAAATAATTTAGCCTGGCCCTGCAAAGTCATTAGGGGCAAGTTAATTAAATGTTTGACCAAATATAGCAGGCTAATTTTTAAGTTGATAATTTTGTATGGCCTTTGGCAGACTGGTACAGACTGTGTGCTGGGTTTTGGCAAGGTGGGTGGAGTCAGGGAGGACACCTGAGTGCCTGGTGTCAGCTGCCTCGGAGGTGCTAGCCCAGGGTGCGGTGGCCCAGTGCACACACATGCATACAATAGCTCCCTATTGGTCTGGCTGTCCTGGCCAGAGCAAAGCACTGGCAGGGAAGCCCCAGTGCATGCGTGTTTTGGTGACCTTTTAGTTCCCACAGGAGCAAGGTCTGGATGAGGCAAAGCCCTCTTGATCCAGTCATCTGTAGCCAGAGCTGCGGTCCAGGCTAGGCTGTCAACTACAGCACCATTTGGTTCACTGAAACAAGCTCTGGACAGGGCACCTGGAAATTCACTGCAATAGCCTGTAGGTCCACCATAGCACTCGCCCTGCATCCAGCTGGAGGGGAAGTTGGCACTCACCTGGCACTGCTGATCGCAGAGCATTGTCATGGTTCTTGAACCTTCATGTTTGTGCTCTCGCGCGTGCGCGCGCACGCGCGCGCCCACACGCGCGCGCGCGCGCTCTCTCTCTCTCTCTCTCTCTCCTCCCTCCCTCCCTCCCTCCCTCCCTCCCTCCCTCCCTCTCCTTTGTTGTGTAGAAGCTTTTCAGTTGGCCCTGAGTTGTCTTTGAGGAGAAATTATTCTAAATGTAGGTTTGTTCACAGATGGGGCAATTTAGTTTCCTTCTATGCCACTAGTTTGGACCCGCCTGATAGGTTTTGATTTAATGTTGTGATTAAAGAAATTCATCCTAAATTACAAATAAGACCTTCTCAGGGAGCATTCTCTCTTTTTCTTTTCAACTTTCAATTATTTTTAAAATTATAAAAACATACAACCTTGTTATAAAAGTTAAAATAATTGCATATAAGATTTAAAAAAGAGCCAAAACCGGTTTGGCTCAGTGGATAGAGCGTCGGCCTGCAGACTGAAAGGTCTCAGGTTTGACTCTGGTCAAAGGCATGTACCTTGGTTGTGGGCACATCCCCAGTAGGGGGTGTGCAAGATGCAGCTGGTCGGTGATTCTCTCTCATCAATGTTTCTAACTCTCTACCCTTCTCTCTTCCTCTCTGTAAAAAATAAATAAAATATATTTTTAAAAAAGATTAAAAAAAAAAAAATTCTCCCTCACCTCTGCCTTCAATTCTATCCTGTCTTTTTTCCAGAAGCACACTTGTTATCTGTCATTTTATTTTTTATTTTTTGAATTTTTGTAAAAGAAAAAACATGGCCTTCGAGCAAATCTTTAAATACATGAAAAGAATACTAAGAGAGGTATTTTTGGTAAGCAAGAAAGAATGGTATTCTTTTATTGAACTTTCTAAAAAATGAAATATAAGGAAATAACATAAGGAATTAGCACTATACCTGCCTCCCAACTTATACCCAGAGTGACCTTTTCAAATGATCCTGCTTCCTTGAAGATCTTGTAAAACAAAGGATTTTAGCAGTGAGCTCAAAATGGCCTGTGTAAGCATCAACTCAAAATCCCTTCTAAGAATATAGTGAGGTTGGAGTTTTTTATTTTATTTTATTGAGCTTCAGGTATAGAGGATTGAATTAATCATACTCTTTGGTTCATAACATATTTTCTCCATGAAGTGAAAGGTGGGGTATTTTCCAGATAGACTAAAAACAAAGAATGCCTAGCCAGAGGCCCTTCCAGACTTAGTTTAATAAATAGGTAGCAATTAAAAATCATCTTTAATTAGTATATTTAAAACTTGTATATGAACAGATTGTGTTAAAGTTCTTTTAAGGACTTCCAACAATATGTTTTAACTACCTTGTTAATATTTATTTACATTATTTGTGTAAATAATCAAAGTAAACCTAAGCCCAGACTTTGTTAGTATTACAGGAAATTCTGAATAAATAAGTCTTATTATTTAATTTCTCATATGAGAAATGGAGATGGTTGTGAGTAGGCAGATGGATTTTTTCTGCTTGCATGAATTTTTAAGCTGTAAATTTATTTGAATATAAAGATTTTAATGTTTAATAATCTTTTATTACTTGAATTTAGAGAGAGGGAGATGAAGGGAGGGGGCAAAGAGAGAAACATCATTCTGTTGTTCCACTTACTTATGCATTCATTGGTTGATTCTTGTATGTGCCCTGACTGGTGATCAAACCCACAACCTTGGTTTTTCAGGACAGTGCACTAACCAATTGAGCTACCCAGCCAGGGCTGTCTAAGAACCTTTTAAAGATTAAATTACTTCTAACTAATATATGTAAGTATGTTTTCATTTACAAATATCAGGGGGCAAAAATCCAACTCAAACTTTCTTCTTTTTATGGTGTACTAGTGGCTTAAAACAACAAACTTTTTTTTTTTAACCGTATCTTTTCTATGAGCCAAGAATCTGGACATAGTTTAGCATAGGGCCTCTGGTTCAGAGTCTCATCGAGGTTGCAGTAAAGCTATCCGCCGGGACTGTGATGCCATCTGAGGGCCCAATGGAAGAAGATCCCCTTTTCTAAGCTCATTCGTGTGGTTGTTGGCAGGATCAGTTCCTCACAGGTTGTTGAACTCGGGGCCTGTCTCTCACTGACCCTTGTCTAGAGGCCCCTCCCATTTCCTCCACATGGGTCTCTCTACAGTGCGCCTCACAGCGTGGCACGTGGCTCCCCTCAAAGTGAGACGGTACCCAAGGCGGAAGCCACACTCTTTTTGTAACTAATCTCAGAAGTGACATCCCATTACTTTTGCTGTATTTCATGACTGACTAGAAACTAATCACCAGGTCTAGCCACACTTAAAGTGAGGGGATTGTATCGATATAAGGATGTGAGTACCAAGAGTCAAGGATCATTGGGGGCCAACTTAGAAGCTGTCTAATATATCAATAGATGGCAAAGTTCCCAGCTTTATACAGAGTGGGGCATAAGTAACGTTGTTCATATGGGAAATACAATAATTAATAAACTGTTTTGTGTCCTCACAGCTGTAAACCTCCTTTTGCCCCATCCTATATAAAATACCACACTGTCCAAGTGAAATCTTGAGCTTCACACTAAATTCAGGGCACCCCTGAACCAATCCATGTAGCCACAGGTATGCTATAAGCTAACCCACTCCTTCTATGAAGTGATGGGGCAGAGGAGGATTTTCTTGTTGACCTAGTCAGGGGTCCTCAAACTTTTTAAAGTGGGGGCCAGATCACGGTCCCTCAGAGAGCTGGAGGGCCGGACTATATGAACTACTAATTCCTACTGTAACACCTCGGCTGCGCTCACTGCCCAAATAACCTGGCGGGCCGGATCAGACTCCTCTGCGGGCCGCATGTGGCCCGCGGGCCGTAGTTTGAAGACGCCTGCTAGATCCATCAAAGCCTACCCCTGTATTATGAACTTGGGTCTATTCCACTCCAACCATTCTTGCTATATAATGAAAAATGGAATGTACACTGAATGGCCAGGTTATTATGACCACCTGACATTCGGAGGCAAATTAGCCGTACACTGCATCGTATGGGACATGGAAACTGCTGTCTGCAGTTACCAAGATAAAACGTCTCCAATTCGCACAGGAACACAAGGATTGGACAGTCGAGCATTGGAAAAAAGTCATGTGGTCCGATGAATCACGTTTTCAGTTGCATCATGCAGATGGCAGAGTGAGAATTTGGCGGAAGCAGCATGAAAGCATGCACCACACATACATGAGTACAACTCTTCAAGCTGGTGGGAGCAGTGTTATGGTGTGGGGAATGTTTTCCTGGCATGATTCGAGCCCTTTAATTTGTGTGGAACAACGTCTGATAGCACAACATACCTAAGTGTCGTTACTGATCAAGTTCATCCTATCATGTTGATGGCGTATCCAAATGGAGATGGCTTCTTCCAACAAGACTGCGCCATGCCACGGTGCTGTATTGTGCAAGAGTGGTTTCAAGGACATGAGGGAGACTCTACCTTGCCCCCACAATCACCAGATCTCGATCCAATTGAGCATTTATGGGACAAAGTTAAAAGAGCTATCAGGCAGCTGGTTCCACAACCATCAAATCTCACAGAACTGGACAGTGCTATTCATCAGGCATGGTGTCAGATTCCTCGCATCACCTTTCAACATCTTGTGGAGTCAATGCCAAGAAGAATCGCTGCAGTATTGAAGGCAAAAGGTGGCCCATCAAAGTACTGATGGGGTGGTCATAATAATCTGGCCACTTGGTGTATATTGGGAAACAACACAGTGTTTCCAAAAGCTGGTAAAATATTTTAGGTGTTTTATTCAGACTGTCTTTTTTTGCTTCACAGGTGTATTTCACGAAGAAGGAATAGAAAATAATCTGTACACCATTTCCAAAATTCTAGCCACAATAATGGTCTGGTGATGACTGGCAACTAGCTTTGTTCCAAGAAATCTTCTTAGATTTCATCCCCTTCCCTCCCAGCCCCTAACTCTACAGAGTGACTTCCAGGCCCTAGAGGGGAGCCATTATTCCAACAAGGATATGCAAGTCCTTGCATCCCTGCCTATAAGACATAAGATTTTTATCTGAAAATAAATGAATATTTAAGAAAATATGATGACCATTTGTTTGTTTGCTTGTTTGTTTGAATGATTCCATCACAACACTTGACAAAAAATTTGAGAAAAGTCCTATTTTGGCCTCATAGTCTAAACTCTAGACTCTAAAGAACAGCAAAGCGGTCAGTAAATGCAGTTGAAGAAAAAGCCCTTTGAAAGCCGTTCATTGGTCTTCTAAAGAAGCTGACTGTGCTATAATGTGGTTAACCTCACACGTCCAAACAGAAGTGTCCCAGAAGTTTCTGGACTCGAGGAAATTTTTTTAAAAGGCAAGGAGGTGGGGAGGGGCAGAGTGTGGAATTTAGAGTTTATTTTCAAGAGAGACAATCTCTAGAAACAATGCTTTCTCAAAATGTGTATTGAAGCATACAGGTTAACAGGGCCTTCAGGGTAGTTAAAGGGATCTTAGACAATTTGAGCAGCTTTACTGGAGGGAAAACAAAACAAAATCAGACCTATACTCGGGGACATAGAAGAAATGCCAGCTGCTAAAAGCCCAGCCACGGAAAGGACCGGAAAGCAGCCTGGTACACACAAGCAGGAATCTACAAGCTCTGCAAGGTCACAGGCTACAATATTCATACACTAATATCAATTGTTTTTGTATACTAGCAATGAAAATTCCAAAAATGGAATTAAGAAAATAATTCTAGGCATGCTCGTCCTTCCTTGTTTCATTGTCCCCAGTTTTAATAAACATACTCTCCTCAAAAAGAAAGCAAATCATTCCATCTAAAATATTAACAAAAGAAGTATTTAAAAATAAATTTAACAGAAGAAGTACAAGACTTGTACAGCGAAAACTATAAACATTCAGAGAAATTAAGGGAGGTAAATAGAGGTATTCCATGTTCATGGATTAAAAGATTCAATATTGTTAAGATGGCAATTGTCTTTTAAAAGTTTATTTAAAAATCAATGCAAACCCTATAAAAACCCAGCAGACTTTTTTTTTTTTTAAATTGGCAAACTGATCCTAAAATTTCTAGGGAAATGCAAAGGATCCATAATAGCCCAAACAGTTCTAAAAATGAGGAACACTTCCTGATTTCAAAACTTACTGCAAAACTACAATAATCAAGACAGTGTGATATTGATATAAGGATAGACAGAAAGTTTGTGGAACAGAATTTGAGCACCTAGGATAAGCCCTCATATTTGTGGCTAGTTAATTTTCAACTAAGGTGTCAAGCCATTTCCATGAAGAAAGGATAGTCTTTTCAACAAATGGTGCTGGGACATTTGGATATCAGATGCAAAAATGACTCATTAGACCCTTACCTCCTACCATACACAAGTAAATTCAAAATGAATCAGAGACCTAAATATAAAAGCTAAAACTATAAAGCTTTTAGGAGAAAACCTACATGACATTGGTTTAGGAAAAGAGTTCTTAGATAAGATTCCAAAAACAAATCAGGACACATGCCTTGGATATGGACTCGATCCCCAGAAGGGGGCGTGCAGGAGGCCGCCAATTGGTGATGTTTCTCTCTGATGGATGTTTCTATCTAGCCTTCTCTCTCCCTCTCTTCAAAAAAAAAAGAAAAGAAAAAAAAGCAGTGTTGGTGAGATGTGAAGAAACAAGCCCCAATACATTGCTAGTGGGAATGTAAAATGGTGCAGCCAGATTCAAAAAGCAATCTGGAGGTTTCTAAGTTAAATATAAGTTTACCATATGACCTAGAAATTATATTGTACTTGGTGTCCTACCACAAAATAAATGAAAACATGTTTATAAGACTTACAGGCAAATATTCATAGCATCATTGTTCATATTAGGGAAGCAACCCAAATGACTATCGACTGGTACATGGATAAACAAAAAATCCATACAGTGGAATACTGATACATGCTATAACACAGCTAAACTCCAGAAACATTATGCTAAGTGAAATAAGTCTGACACAATAAACCATATAAGGGGTGATTTCATTTTATAAAATATCAAAAAAGAAAAATCTCAACTAGATACTTAATTGGTGGTTGCATGGACATGGATGGGAACGGATCGTCTGCAAATGGGGGTGATGAAATGTTATAAAATTAAATTATGATTTTTGTACAACTTTGTAAACTAAATATAATTGCTTTGTGCACTTAAAACAGGTGAATGTTATGTATATAAATCATCTCAATAAATTATAGGTAATGTTCATACTATCGAAAATAATCTATAGGTTCAATGTCATTTTCATGGAAATAGAATAAATAATCCTAAAGTGTGTATGGGACCACAAAAGACCCCGAATAAACAAAGCAATCTTGAGAAAGAAGAATATAACTGGATTTAAAACTATATTAAAGTTATAGTGATCAAAACAGTATGGTATAGGCATAAAAACAGACTCATAGATCAATGGGTCAAAATACAGAGCTCAGAAGTAAATATATATATATATGGGTTTACTTCTAAGCTCTGTATTTTGACCCATTGATCTATGAGTCTGTTTTTATGCCTATACCATACTGTGTGTGTGTGTGTGTGTGTGGTCAATTTATAACAATGGGGCCAGAATATACAGTGGGGAAAGGATAGTCTCTTCAATAAGTGCCCTTGGGAAAATTGGTCAACCACATACGTCAGTCATACACAATTAAAATGTATTAAAGTACTGAATATAAGACATGAAACCATTAAACTCCAAACTAAAAAGCTTCTGCATAGCAAAGGAAACTAATGAAGTATAAAGGCAACTACAGAACGGGAAAAGATATTTGCAAATCATATTTCTGATAAGGGGTTAATATCCATAATATATAAAGAAATCACACAATTCAATAGCTAAAAGAAGAGCAATCCATTATTTAAAAGGGCAGAGCCCAGCTGGCATAGCTCAGTGGCTGAGCAGGGACCTATGAACCAGGAGGTCACGGTTTGATGCCTGGTCGGGGCACATGCCCTAGTTGTGGGCTCAGTCCCCAGTAAGGTGCATGCAGGAGTCAGCCCATCAATGATTCTCATCACTGATGTTTCTATCTTTCTCTTCCCCTCTCCCTCTCTGAAATCAATAAATGTGTGTGTGTGTGTGTGTGTGTATGTGTGTGTGTGTGTAAAACATCAAATATCCTATCTAATAAAAGTAATATGCAAATTGACCGTACCTCTGCTACACCTACAAAGCCACACCCACCAGTCAATCAGGAGAAAATATGCAAATAAACCTAACCAAGGTTGCTGTTGCCAGAGAGAGCAGGAGGAAGGCTTGGGTTTCCCTGGCAATGGAGGAAGCCAAGCTTTCCACCTGCCCTGGCCTGTCTCGGCCTCCCCTTAAGGCTACAAAGTTTCAGTTATGGAAGGTAAACAAACCCAAATAGAAATGCCTGCCGCCAGGGAGTGAGCAGGAGGCTTGGCTCCCCTCTAGGATACAAAGTTTCAGTTGTAGAAGGTAAATAAATCCCAGATACCAGGGCCACCGCTTGGGTCGCCAGGGGGCGTGGCCGGTCTGCAAATCACCACAGGCCCCTCACCCAGGCCACCCCACACTCCCAGGAAACCCCCACCCTGATCTGAGACACCCTTCAGGGCAAACCAGCTAGCCCCTACCCCATGCACTAGGCCTCTATCCTATCTAATAAAAAAGTAATTTGCAGATTGACCATCATTCCAACA